CCAGGGCCGGCCGGGCACCAAACCTAGGGCGGGCTCCGAGAAAGGCAGTGCCAGCAGCAGGGAGGGGAAGGCCACCGTCTGGATCTGAGGCCCCGCCCCAGTGCTCGGCCCTCCCTTCACGCCGGCATTGGCTGGGGACTCTGGGATGAAGCTGGGTACTGGCCGCGCTGGACACAGAGCATCACCTGCCGTCTCCCCCTCCTCCTCCCCCTCCTCCTTCTCCTCCTTCTCCTCTGCTCTGTAGCGCTACCCCTTCCCACCTGAACCCTCTCTCTGTCCGGGATAAGAGGGGAGGATTGGCCCGGCAACCACAGGGTCCCCAGTTCTGGTTCGTAAACCCTGAGGAGTGGGCTGGACTGTGGCTAGGGCACTGCCCCCGCCACCAACCCCATCGGCCCCTACAGAGCCACCTTGAGCCTCTCTGGTCCAGGTGCCCAATCCTTCCCTCAGAGCTTCTCTGGGACCCAGCCAGCGCCTCAGGACGTCTCTGAACAGAAGGTCCAGCCTCTTCCCTGCTCCCCGGCAGCAGCCCAGATATGACGCCAGAGGTGTCTGGCCTGGGCGTTCGGGGTACAATGCTGTCCCCACTCCCTGCAGCAGCCAATGTGGCTCCTTTCCCAGCCACCCGCCTCCCGCCCACATGCTGCTTCCTGCAGAACGGAAGCAATTTTGAGTCTTCTTCCTACAGTAGGGGAAACCGAGGCAGCCCGGGCCTGCGCCTCCTTCCTCCTTGGCCCCCTGGGCACCAGCTCATAAGCTGCCGGTCCTTCTCCCGCGAGTGTGGGGCGGGCCTGCATCCTGCCCCGGGTCCCTGCCCAGACAGATGAGAGTAGATTCGGCCACGCCCCCTAGAGCTTCATGGCTGTCTGGCTGGGGCCTTCCACTGGGAGGTCAGTCTGCCTTGCTACTGAGACCAACAGGGTGGTGGCCAAGAGCTGCGGCTTTGGCCCTGTTGGGGGAAGGGGCTTAGGGGCTCCTGCCCAGGGCCTCCCAGCCCTGCAGCCCCCTTTCCTAATTCAGACACAGACTCCCAAATAAAAACCTAACTTTTGTTTATAACTGTATGTGTGGTGTGTGATGTGTGTGTATGCACGGGTATGTATGTATGTATGTATGTGCATATGACATGTGTGCACATGTGCTGTGTACAAGCACATGCATGCATGTATCCGGTTGGTGTGTGCAAACGTGTGTGCATGTCCATCACTGGCCTCCAGGTACACAGCTAAGCTCCAGGCTAGCCTGGAGAGCAGCTCCTGAGAGACTCCCGGGGGCAGTTCAGTGCCAGGCAGCGGGCCAGGTGGGCCCCTCCAAGCAGACGGATGGTAAGAACAAAGAGCAGGCCAGGCCCGAACACTCAGAGTCAAGGTTGGCCTGTGGCTCAGGGGACAGGGGGGCACTGCTGTCTCAGGGGAACCTGCAAAGGTGGCTTTGGTGAGGAGCAGAGGTGGGGAAGGGAGGTGGGGAAATCAGCTGCTGTCTGCAAGGAGCCATCTTGGTCTAGACTTCGGTGACCCCAGCTGTCTCCCAGCCTCCCTCAGGCTCAGCTCAGGTCCTGATAACCTCTCCTGGCTGAAAACCTCTCTTTGCTGCCTCCAGGGCCAAGCCCTGTTAACGTAAAAACATTCAAATCTGTAAAGCAGTGGTTCTCAACCTTCTGGCCCTTTAAATACAGTTCCTCATGTTGTGACCCAACCATAAAATTATTTTCGTTGCTACTTCATAACTGTAACGTTGCTACTGTTATGAATCGTAATGTAAATATCTGATATGCAGGATGGTCTTAGGCGACCCCTGTGAAAGGGTCGTTCGACCGCCAAAGGGGTCTTGACCCACAGGTTGAGAACCGCTGCTAGGATTTTTGTGAGTTTATTTGAGCCAAACTATCACCAATTGCTGGGAAGCAATCACAACAGATTGGGACAATGCTCGAGAATGGTGGTTTTTCACCTTGTTTTATATATTACATCAAAGGAGGAGACTTAAGTGGGTTACATGAAATCCATTGGTGATAGACTAGGCAGGTGGGAGGAAGCAAAGGGGTGGGGAAACCTCTGGGATTGGATAAAAAGTAAAATGATAGACACATACTTCTTTTGCTTAGGTGGGTGCAGGATAGTTAACAATTAACACGGTAACAATAACAATGAAGGAATTTGTGGTCTCTGTCCTGGCGCTCAGGGCATGTGGTTGTGCTTTGAGGGGTCCAGAAAAAGGGAAGTTACAAGCTACTCTGACATTTCAATGATATGTTAGCATAGATGCAAAAGACAGTAAGCTCAGTTAAGATAAAGATTGACCTTGTCAGGGAAGATACGGGCCTAGGCGGTGACTACCCATCATAAGCTGCTTTTAGTTAAAGTTTAATTTCAGACCATCCTTTGTGGTTACTTTAGGTCTTAGAGTTTGCAAGACTGCCATGCAGGCCTTCCCTGAGCTTGTCAGGTAGCATATGGCCCCTTTCATCCACAGCTCAAGTCAGGCTGAACCCTGACCCTAACCTCAGCCTGCGTCGGGTCAGATGCCAACTGTAAGCTGAGTCCCTCTTCTGTGTGGGGTCCGTCAGACTGTCTGAGCACCGCTCCTAGGTGCGCCCCTTCCTAGACAAGCCCTGCCCCCAGTGGCACCCCGTCTCCAGGCTGGGCCTTGCCCCTAGGTGAGCTGCACTTCCGGTGGAGACTGGCCTGCGGGAGAGCCCTGCTCTTACAGGAGCCCTCTCCCAGGGGAGCCCCGCCCCAGGAAGTCTTGGAGGGCGACAGTTAAAGTTTAATTTCAGACCATCCTTTGTGGTTACTTTAGGTCTTAGAGTTTGCAAGACTGCCATGCAGGCCTTCCCTGAGCTTGTCAGGTAGCATATGGCCCCTTTCATCCACAGCTCAAGTCAGGCTGAACCCTGACCCTAACCTCAGCCTGCGTCGGGTCAGATGCCAACTGTAAGCTGAGTCCCTCTTCTGTGTGGGGTCCGTCAGACTGTCTGAGCACCGCTCCTAGGTGCGCCCCTTCCTAGACAAGCCCTGCCCCCAGTGGCACCCCGTCTCCAGGCTGGGCCTTGCCCCTAGGTGAGCTGCACTTCCGGTGGAGACTGGCCTGCGGGAGAGCCCTGCTCTTACAGGAGCCCTCTCCCAGGGGAGCCCCGCCCCAGGAAGTCTTGGAGGGCGACTCCAATCTGGATCCAGAGCTCGACATACAGTTCACCTCTCCAAAAGAATTTGGTCCACAGAACTAGCAGTCTTGGACTTAGGACTATGATCCTGGCTTTGCGGTCACCAGGGAGGCTAGGTCCATGGGGAGGCTGCCCTGCCATACCTGGCCCCTACGGGTAGGAATGGGCACAGAGAGTGGCGAAGCTGGTAGTAATGGACATGCAAGAACGCCTGTGCATGGGCACTCTCTCCACAGTCCCTCCATGCTTCCTTGTCAGTACTCTGCAGCCAGGTCTCCTTTTTGGTAGAGGCCCTCAGGAGCTCAGAGAAATGGCATCTGGGTGGGGAACAGTGGAACTTGGGGTTCATAACAGCCCTAATGGCTGGAGAGGGCCAGCAAGGAATGCAGGCCTCTACTCCCGCAGGGACAGGAGCCTGGCCGGGGTCCTGAAGGTCAGTGTTCCACATCTGATGGTGAAATGGTCTACAAGGGGTGGGGAGTAGGGCACGGGCCCTACCATCTGAAAAGGAGCCATGAAGCCAAGTGGATAGGGGAGGCACTGGGCAGATTTGTGTTTGGGGGAGAACATTCTGGATTCGAACATTCTGGACAGGATGTCCAGACATTGGTCTTCTCCTGTCCTTGGACTTGGACTCAGGTCGGAACTTAGGCCACTGGCTCTCCTGAATCTTGAAGATGGCAGATCCCGGGACTTCTGAGCCTCCACAACTGCATGAGCCAATTCTTTGTAATACATCTTTCTCTATATATCACAAGTTGGTACTGTTTCTCTGGAGAACACCAACTAATATACACCCCATCAGCCAGAGCTGGTTAAGGGCATCCCAGCTGAGAGGGAAGGTGCAAATGAAGGCTCTATTCTGGAACGTCTCTCTCGGCTCAGGCTTCATAACAAATACCACAGACTGGGGGCTTAAACAGACATTTATTTCTCCCAGTCCTGTGAACAATGGGCCTTGAAAGGACCGACTCCATCCTGTCCCTCGCCCTCTATCTGAATCATAGGCACTCTATCTAGTTCCTGTACCTCCATTTTGTAAGAACGGCCATTTAAAATTTTTCACTAAACACAGATGGTCCTTTGTTCTGTTAACTCCAGGAAGTAACTAAACCAGATAGCCTCCCTGATAGAAGTAACTCTGCTATTTCTAGCTTCTGTAAGCATGCTTGCTTGAATATTGGGAAAAATAAGACATTTTTGGGGAGGGACTAGCAATCTGAATCTGTGCCAGTAACCTAATGTATATTCTTATCAGCCTATAGCAGTGGTTCTCAACCTTCCTAACGCCGCGACCCTTTAATACAGTTCCTCATGTTGTGGTGACCCCCAACCATAAAATTATTTTTGTTGCTACTTCATAACTGTAATTTTGCTACTGTTATGAATCATAATGTAAATATCTGATATGCAGGATGTATTTTCATTGTTACAAATTGAACATAATTAAAGCATAGTGATTAATCACAAAAACAATATGTAATTATATATGTGTTTTCCGATGGTCTTAGGCGACCCCTGTGAAAGGGTCGTTCAACCACCAAAGGGGTCAAGACCCACAAGTTGAGAACCGCTGCCCTAGAATACGTGGAGCAGAATCCTCTTAAATCTTTGGCTGAGCACTGAACTGTGCTTGCAAGGAGTCATACTCCACAAAGTGGGGTTCAGAAAGCAGTGTGCCAAACAAGCAAACAATTCCCAGAGCTCACTCAGCATGAGGAAGCTAACCCCTAAGTTCATTCGGGGCCGCAAGGTTTTGGAGAGACATTAGCGCTCTTGCTGCCACCGGTGTTTGCAATAAAGACTCCAAATTTGGCCCTCTGACTGTGGCGTCTTCTGTTCAGCTCACTGAATTTCCAATATGACACCTGGAGGCTGCAATTCCAGGATCCAGGTGTGGTCAGGGCTGGTTCCCCGGAGGCCTCTGTCCTTGGTGTGTAGGTGGCCATCTCCTCCTGTGTCCTCACATAGCCGTACCTCTGTGTGCATTGTGTTTCAATGTCCTCTTTTCTTAAAAAATATATTTTATTGATTTTTTTTTTTTTTACAGAGAGGAAGAGAGAGGGATAGAGAGTTAGA